TGTGTGTCCAACAGGGTTCTCCCATTGCTCTCCGCTTTCGTATCGCAAAGCACAGGAGGTCTCCTGCAGAGCAGGGCAGGGTTGTCTTGCCCTTAACCTGCCCCTCTGGAAAGCCAGCTGCTCAAACCCTCCCTTCACACCCAGCTCCGCCTCATCTCCCTTCAGGCCACCTCCAGAACCCTGGGCCCAGGCTAAACTCAGCGCTGTGTGCTGAGGCAGTGTGATTGACCCTCTGTGTCCAGGCCCCACTGTTCAAGAAGCCACTGGCCACTGCCTCCTCCCACACAGCACTGGCAGAGCATTGAGGGGGTCAGCTCCGCAAGGAGCAGGCTCAGCCCAGGTTAGGGTTTATGTCTGGAAGGACCCCAAAGCCTCATAAGCTCAAAGGTAAAGCTTTGAGGGAGCCCAACAGCCGACGCGCTGCTAGGATGTGGTGTCTGACCAGCAGAGGGGGGCCGCTGTGGATTATTTTCCCCTTACTGGCTCTTCCCTTGACCTTTCTCTGCTTCCCACCACCATGAGGTGAGCAGCTTTTCTTCCACCAGCCCTGTCTGCCATGCTGTCCTGCCTCAGAGCCAGCGGACCATGGACTGACCACAGACCATAACCGTGAGCCAAAATAAACCTCTCTTCCCTTAAGTTGAAGTTGTCAGATATTGTGTCTCAGAGACAGGTAAATGACTAAGCCCACAGGTGTTTGCTAAAAAGTTTTATAAAGTGAATTTCAAAATACAACACCTTGTAATATTTCCCCTTTGAGAGGTAAGGCAGGGCTGAGGCGTTCTTCATTGCCACAATCCCCATGTTTGGTAGGGTTGTGCCCAATACACAGCTCTTGTATCAACAACACATATGTGAGGGATAGCTGTCTGCAAAAAGCTGGCCAGATGAAAGAAGTGACATCTCCCAGGATTCCACATAAAATTCCACAAAAAGCTGAATGTAACTCAAACCGCTAGCATGGGAAATCAGAGCAGAAGGTCCTCCCTTCCATGGTCAGACCTGGTCCCAGTGAAAACACCCTGAAGCCACCTGGTCCCAGGCTCCGCCATGAAGCTCCACTCCCTCAGTGCAGCTGAGTGACTCCCACTTAGAGCATCACCCACACTTCCCGCCCTCATCTTCCTCAACACCACCTCTTCTATTATGGGCTTTTATTGCCAATATTAAAACGCATGGCAAAATGAAATTTCTAAAAGAGCATGAAATCTATGGAAAAATATGCAGAAGCAAGGCTTTGAGTTAATTCAGTATTTAAATGATATTCATTTCAAGCATTCATATTCTGAGGAAATTCCCCATAACATAAAATATATAGGTGTCCAAAAAGATCCTGCTTTAATGTAGTTGAAGGTCTAGGATGTGATTATAACTTGAGTGGATGGATTAACTTGGACATTCACACTGAACCACTGCACCAGCCCCATAAGAAGGGAACCGGTCTTTCCACCCCCTAAACCCACTGTCCTATGTGGTCCTCCCATTCCAGGCCCCAGTGGCTCCCCATTGTCCTAAGGATAGGTCCAAATAACCAGCTTACAAGGTGCTTCCTACTTCATTCCCATGGAACCCACAGCCTCTGCTCCGAGCCACGTCATGCAACAAACTGGTCTTGCTTGCTGCCCTCTCACCACCTACCTGCACACAATGCCCCAAATCTCAGCGTAAATGTCAGTTCCTAGAAAGCATCCCAGGACCAGTGTGAAGTCAGTTTTGAGTCACTGTGACAAAAAACCTGCCATAAACAGACTAAAGGAGGAAACACTTGTTCTGACTCATGGGCTCAGGGGCCTGAGTCCATGGTGGGTTGGCTCCATTGCTCTTAGGCCTATGGCGGAGCAGAACCATCACAGTGGAAGAAAGGTGCTCACTTTTCGGTGGCCAGGAAACAGAGAGAGGAAGTATGTGCTGGCGGGCTTCCTCTTTCTTTTCTGTTCTTCCACTCTGGTTCCATCTGGGCCACAAGACTACTGGGTGGTGCCACCCCATTGTGGTTTATACCCAGATGTCCCAAAGAGCCTCATGTGTTCACAAGGGGGAATTCAGAAGAGGACTGGGCCATGGGGCTGGCTGACTCGTTGTGTGTGGGGGGGAACATGCTCGGGGAGGCAGATCATGGGGGTATGACCTGGAGGGGACAAGAGTGTGTTTTCACCCTTGCAACCCCAGAACCTGAAGTAATGCTTGGTGGATAGAAACTATCAGTGAATTTTAATTTACTCAACGAGATGGTGACGGCTAAACCACATTAGTGAAGACGAAAATATACAGAAGTATAAAAATTTTTAAAATAACAATAACATCACTTGGAAGCACCCAGTATGAATTAGAGACAGAACAGATATGGGCAATGATAAAGAAAGGACGTCAAATTTCTGCCTTGGGCAGCAGCACCAGCAGTGACCTGCAGCAAACAACCGGCAGAGGTGCAGGTCTGAGAGAGGAAGGAACAGGTCTAGGTTAGACGTGCAGAATTCAAAGGCCCCCGACACACATCTCAGTCACTTTCCCATCAGGACTCGTGACACCTGCACGGAGGAGGGAAGGTTTATCTGAGCTCACACTTCAATCCATGTTCAACAGGCTCAACCACAGAAATGGCAGGAAGCAAGGGCAGAGCGGAGGTCACTGCTCACATCACAGCAGACAGGAAGCAGACAGCAAAGGGCGGGGCCAGGGAGGGAGCCACCTCCAGCCAGGCTCCGCTTCCTAACACCAAGTCAGCAGGAGCGCCTCCCTGATCCAATCACTTTCCAGAAGCCCTGCCTCTGAAGGCCTGAGTCTCGGGGGGTCGCTCATGATCTCAACCCTAACAAGCGCCTGTGAAGTCAGGATTCTAGTCAAGAACTTATCGTGGTCTTCTCCAAACACAGATTGCTTCCAGTGCCCACCAAACTTCCCAACAGGTCCACGCAACCCTGCATGGTCCAGGCCCTCCATAGCTCCCCAGCCTCACTTTCCACATCCGTCTGCTCCTTGCTTGCTCTGTACCATGCCCTGGTGGTGCCCTGAGAGGGGTGCCTGGTACCTCTGGAACTCCAAGCCCCATCCTCACCAAGCTCCCTGCTCCTTGCTACACATGTGTCAGTTGAGATGTCACCTCGCAGGGGAGGCCCTCTGTCCTGAAAGTCACCTCAGCCCCTCCCTGATTCACTGTCACTCCGACTGTTTCAGTTTCATCTTAAGCGCTTGAGAACCTTTCACTGTCTGTCCATCTGTTCTGACTCACCTCTCTGCATCATAAGCTCCACTAGGTCAGGCCTCCAACCATCATCTTGCCAGCACAGCTCCAGCAGGTAGAATGATGGCCCTTGCTAGCTGTCAGCAAGTGTGTTGAATGAATACATCAACAGAGGAATAACAGTAGCATGACAGAATTACCCACCACTGCCCTGCAGGTGACATAGTTCTGAGAATGCAGAAGGAGCTACCAAGTGTCAACTCCTCAGGTCTGTATCACAAGTTCCAGGCAGAAGTTCTAGCTAGCAAAAGCAAAGAAAGCTTTTGAGGAGGGCGAGGAGCTGGTACAGGAACAGGGAAAAAGAGTAGGAATGGATTTTTGCTACAGGTTCACCAACCCTAATACCCAAATCCAAAATGCTTCAAAAATCAAACTTCTTTGAACAGCAACACAACAGCACAAGTGGAAAATTACACACCATGAGATTTTGTTCCACGCACAAAATTACTGAAAACATTGTATAAAATTATCTTCAGTCTACATTTATAAAGTATATACAAAGCATAAATGAATTTCATATTTAGATTTGCACCCTATCTAATATATATATATATATATATATATACACACACACACACACACACACACACACAAGTATTCCAAAAACTGAAAAAAATGAAATGGCAAAGACTTCTGGCCCCAAGCATTTTGGATAAGAGATATTCAACTTGTTCCACCACCAGGCCTCTTGTCTCAAAGGTCGTAAACCTGATGGCCACCAGGAGCCATTTGTTCATTTGGTTATGTATTCATTCATTCTTGCATTACTAATACATTCATCCAGTTTAAAGACCAAAACAACGTAAGTAGGTACATAGGAAAAAATTTCACTTTCTCTCCCTTCCCTGTCTGCTCTATTCTCCTGAGCACCTATATACACACCCCTAAGAAGTTTTTTAATTTTTTGCTTTGGGAAGTTTCTTGTACAAGGCAGATTCATATTAACTCATACACTAACCACTATAACTGTAGGGTAAACATCTGCAAGTATATAATTGTTAAAAATATTACCAAATACCCTCCAAGGGGTGTGTCCTTTTACCACTGACAAATATTTAAAAGAAAATTCCTAGGCCTCACACCAAACTCACCAGATCAAAATTTCTAAGGGTGGAAGCCAAAAATCTGCCATTTTAGAAACAGCTTCCCTCGTGATTGTGATGCCCAGCCATGCTTGGGGAAGGCTGTGCTGCTGCAGAAAGCAACAGCTGTCACTCACTGGAGGCAAGGAGCCCTGCTTTTCAACTGTGCAGGACCTGTTTACTGGGGCAGCCGGAGTCCGGCCCTATGATCCCCTACCCAGATTTCTCTCTGCAACAGATAACCATATTTAAGATCACACACACACACACACACACACACACACACACATGCATGCACACACACAGACATCTATGCAATACCTACTCCTGCATTCAAATGGAATTGGAGTATCTCGAAAAGCAATGAGTGAGGTGGCCACAATGCTGTCTTCAGGGAGTGTGACACAGCAGTCGCTGTGTAGGAGGGAGAGCTACTTCCCCTCCAAATACATACAAATACATACAAGGATATACAAGTACCACTTGTATGTATTGCTGTGATAGTTAACTACTGCATCGACTTGAGTAAGAAATGCCCGTCTGATTGGCTCAGCATACTTCCGCATGTAACAGAATGGACTTACAGAAGGGGGAAGACCCACCCCGGGTGTGGGTGGCACCAACCAATAGCTTAGGAGTTTGGGTGGAATAAAAAGGGAAAGAAGAAGAAGACTCACTTCTGCTCTTCAGAGGACTCCAGTCTTCACCTTCGCCTCGGACACCCTTCTCCAGGCCTCCAGTGCAGACCCTCCAGCCTCCTGATGCGGACTCGCTCGGGACTCTGCTGTGACTCTCCAGGCCTTGGACTTCTGAATGGATCCTCGGATCTCCAGCACACAGGCTGCCTTCGGCACGCTCCCACATTGTAAGCCTACCCTGTAAATCCATGTATGCATCTTAAATTTATAGATTTAATATAAAATATATTGAAATTTTTTTATATAAAATATTTAATGAGAAATATTAAATCTATAAATTTAATACATATAAAATCCACATATAGTTATTATATCTTATAAATGATATATAATTATTATATATAAATCCACATAATTATAAATCCATATATAATTATTATATTATATATATATTAAATCTGTCTCTCTAGTGAGCACGGATTGATACAATTGCCTATTGAAAAACTATTACAACTCCAAAATTCTCTCTTTGCACTAAATCTGCAACATTATTCCTAGCATTATTCCTAGCAATTCCTGTGGTGATTTTAAAATGTATTCACAAATGCTTTAAGAATTGCTTACACAAAGGTGGCATCTAACTGTCTACTTCCTGAACGTGGGCCAGGCTGAGCACCTCACTTCCACGGAAGTACACAAGGGATGTGACTGTCCTGCCCAAGCTACAAAGGACAGCACCTGCCTGGCTTGTTTTCTCCTCTCGGGGGAAGCCAGCACCATGAGACGTGTTCCACAGTTAAGAATTCATCCCTGGAAGCCACCTAGCACCGTCATTTGGAGTAAGATCTGTCAACTACCCTTCAAGCTCTCCCAGGGGGTCCTGCAGGACTTTCAAATCATCAGTTCAGAGTTCTGCCTAGTGAGTGTATTGATCAGCTCTCCACTGCTGTGACAAAATACCTGTTACAATCCATGAAAGGAGGGGAAAGGTTTAGTTTACTTCACAGTCTCAGAAGTTTCCATTCATGGCTGCTGGGCCCTTGGGCTTTGGGCCGCAGTGGCCTGGTTTATCATGGCGAAAGCAGAGGGGCCTGATCAGCTCATGGCAGCCGGAAAGGAAAGAGACAGAAGAAGAGAAGGTCCCATGTGCCCTCTTACAGCACGTTGGTAAGGTGCTAACCCCCTCCCACAGGATCCTCTTCCCAGCAGTGCTCCCACCCCTCACAGTGAGGCTAACACACTGACCAGGGGGCACTCAAGATCCAAGCTACCCCACAGAGCCTAAGTGTTAGTTAATATACAAGTTAATTCGCTGTCCTCCTAAAGGCAGGGCGAGGACTGCCCAAGGCAGGCACAGCTGTCAAACATGACCTTTGGAACACCCTTGCCTTATGCAGAAGTCTCTCTCCATTAGGCCAAAGAATCCCAACTCCCATCTGATCCCGCTACCTCTCCTTCCATTTCCAGCATTACCACTAGGGAATCATCATCACCAACCATCCTTCCGTTTATCAGAATTCAATCCTGTTCTAAGTTTGAGTCCACGCCATGAGTAAAGGCAGTAATATCACACACAACTCGCTCCAGTGCCCACTTCCCAAGGGCCTGGCATGTGGACGCCTGGAAATAGTGCTTGAGTATGAGGATTTCCTAGAGGCTTCCCAGCCTGGGAGGAAGGATCAGCCCTGTATGTAAATAACTGTGATATAATCTAAATAACTGTAATAAACACAACTACCGATAGCACGATAGCAGGCTGGGCACATGGGGGAGAAAGCACTTAACTGCAAGTTGGAAATCAAAGGTTTCTCTGAAGAAAAGAATAAGAGAGATTTCAACAAGCGCAGAAAAGCCACAAACACACATGTTGCGGGATCCAGGCATTGGTTCACCCAGGGATCCCGGCATTGGTTCACCCAGGGATCCAGGCATTGGTTCACCCAGCTCACTCCACACCCGCGCTGCAGACGGTGCACAGAGCCGCCTCTGACTTCAAGAAGCTCACCCTGGGCTCGGAGAGACCAGGAGAATACCACACTGCACACGGAGAGTGTAAGGCCCGCGCCCGCGAGGTCCTCCCACAAGGCGGAATTGAAACCCAGGAAGGAGGGCAAAGCAGAGGGCGCAGGCTGTGTTAGTACCGTTCAGGGCGAGGGTGCGCGGCGGTGGCTCATTAACCCGCTCGAGGAGGAACAGGAAGTCCACGTGGAGGGGAACAGGAACCGAAATCGGGGCGCGTGCCCTCTCGGGCGTGGGGGCTCCTGCTCGTTGGCGTAAGCCTTCCTGGAGCCTCGCTGGTCGCCCCGGAGGTGTAGGCAACGTCCTGAAAATAACAGAAGCTTTAAGTAAAATAAAATTGTGACGGAGACAACCTCACATCATATTTAATTTACGCAGCATAAACGGACGCCACACGATCACGTGTTATATGAATTCGTGTCCTCACGCACCGAGCATTTCCTCTCCGTGCTGGCGGGTCCCGTGACATCCGAGCGTCTGGAGCTTGCCCCAAGCTGGCAGTGGGCAGGAGCAGGGGCGCGTCCAGGCTCAAGGGCTCCTTACACCCACCTAACGCTCACAGGCCGCAGCACATTGAAGCACGGGGAACCTGTCTTCCCCTCGCCTTGCTCACCACCAGCTCCCTCCCTCTGGCCAGGCCTCTGCCAGCTGCTGCCCTCTCTGGAACTCTTTCTTCAGACCTCGACCACTCCTCCTCTGACCCCTCCTGGCGAGTTCTCCACCTGCCACCAGTCAGGCCCAGATGCCCTGGGCTTCCACCCTCCCTGACCTCCTCCTGCCCTTTCCCATGCCGTGCCTGCCTTGGAGAACAGAAATACATTACCTGCGGGCTGCTCCTCAGCCATCAGCGGTGAGGTGGGCGAAGCTCCTGGGATGTGAACTACACGAAGCACCTGCACCGGTTTTGCTTACTGATGTGTCCAGGGCCCAGTACACTGCCTAGCACCCTCTTGGCGCCCAGCTGTGGCCTGTGAAATAGAGGTGCTGGGTATTAAACACCAGACATGGAAAGTTTTGATTCAGATAATGCCACTATACTTACTTAACACACCAGCTCTTTAAATCTACGAAGGCAAACACACCAAACCTCCAAGACAGAGAAGCCACACTAGTACCAAACATCACTGGCTCGGTGCTCCAGCACTTATACCGTTTTTAAGTCCTTTACTGCACACCCACGGGATGGTGTGACTAAGAGGAAAACATCACCTTTCTCTCAGTTCGCTCTGTAATCTCATGAAAATGTGTACCTGCCCTCTCAACACACAGCAGGACGTGGCTCGCTCTGCACAGCGTTCATCTTCTCAATACCTCGGTGAACGTCCTTTTGTAAAATATTCCACCCCCCATAGGGATAAGCGGACATCACTCCGTTCCACAACTCGGCGAGCTGGGCAACCACGACTCCTCGCCCACTGCCTGCTTTCCGCGTCTTCACTACGTGTTTTTTTGGCCTATCACAGCACAGATGGACAGCAGAGCTGCCCGCCTCACTGATATTTAAGGGGCAGAAGGGGAAATGTGTGTTGGGAAAGAGAAACATAAAGGAAAAAGTCAACTCTGCCCAAGGACAGGGAGCTTTCCCTTTTATTTTAAAAAGTGTATTATTGCTAAAATGATGTTTGAGGCAAAACTTGTCACATGTGTGCCTACCTGAGTCACTGTTCTCAGTGTTAAAAATATGCACTGCAATATGTTTGATGTATTAATTTAATCAGAATCTCAAAAGCTATGATTAGTAGTAGCAGCATTTGAAATGCAGAGATAACTTTCACTTTGGGAGGAGTAAAATCACAATTAAACTCTGTAAAAATCAAGATGTGGTTATGCTTTTTGTTTCATAAGAGCTAAATACATTTCCATAACCCATGGATATTCTATACTCCACTTTCTTTTTATTATTTTAGTATTTTTAGTTTAACCCTCAGGGATATCACCTCAAACAAAGGAGCAAAAAAGATCAAAACATTGTAAAATTATTTCATTTCCAATGTCACATAAGCACTGAGCAAGACCAAGGTATGAATCCAAGCACTTCTAGTACTGAAACTAGCTTATTCACAATGCATGTTAATCAATGACTTTTGCTTTCCAGGGTTAAAAAAGATCCACTCCATACACATTAAGAAATAAAATATAATTTTGATCTGCTTACAGAAAATGAAGCTACCTCCCAGTGTAAAACTGAATCTCGGGTATTTAAGTATTTAGTCAAGAGAAAGCTTCTCCCAAATGAAGAGGCAAACAGAGCTTCTTCTCCTTAAGGTGAAATCATGCTTCTAAGAGTATCTAAGCTTTGGGGGCTGGAGGTTTAGCTCAGCAGCAAAGCGCCTGCCTGGCAAGTACAAGGTCGTGAGTTCAATTCCTGGTACGGGAAGAAAAAAAAAAAAAAAAACAACAACAACAACAACAAAAGAGTATCCAAGCACTTTGTAAAATGCAGCTGCATGGATAATCTAAAGGCTTCAGGAGGCCACATCCTAGGCCCATTTGAACTGTGACTGCCTATCGTCTGGCTGACCACTCACGGCAGCACAGCGGCAGGTGACAGGTGTGGGTAGACAGCCCCTCGGCCACCTGCCACCCTCTATGGTCACTGCCCACCATGTTGGCTGCAGTGTGGCTAGGGCTTGGAGCATCTCGATCCGCTCAGAACAGGCCAGTGGCTCTCTGTACACACCCAGTTCCGAAGTGCACTTTATTTTATTCCTTTGGAAAACAGGCATATAATTTCTGCAGTGTGTAACTAAGTACATCAACCATTTGGGACAATATTATAATGCATAAATTTATTTGTAACAACTGACAATATCTGACAGTTACTTAACAATACCCATCTTTGTACTGTGCTCTACATGTTTTGTACTCACCCTTTTAATCTTCATTGAATCTACCCTTCTCCTCAACTTACAGGCAACTGAGGCACATTAACTAAGCTTCTGCTCATGCAGGTACAAGGAAACTAACCAAGAAGCCAAAGCCACAGGGAGCATTTCTGAACATCTGTGTATTCAACCAGCAGTGCAGATGTTTTAAGTATAAAAATGGATGTTCAGGAATTCTGAGTAACAGAGCAACTGATGCTGCTAAAGGATAAGCAGGGAAACCATACAGACTAAGGTGAACTTAGATAAACTGAGGCACAAAAGACACACAGGACGAAGTGCCACCAGCAGCAGCACAGACAGGAGTAGGACCACAGCAAATCCTCCGCAAGCCATGCCACCGGGGAGCCCTGGCACAGGGAGTCACTGAGAGCCCTCAGCGCCCCGCGGTGAGGGGCTGGGGTAGAAACAACCGAGGCCCTAAGCAGCGGATGGACGCCTGGGGGAGCGTGCGCTGAGGAGGGCTGACTTTGCCCCTTTAGGGCAATACCTGTGTGTAACTGGGGTTTCTCCCTCGACAGGTGTAATAAGAAAAAGTACCAGGATAGTTGGAGGTCTCAGTTTTTTCTTTGTTTTGACCTTTTATTCTTTTATTTTTTGAAGCTTACATTTTTTTATTAGTCCGCGTTTGCAGTACGGAATGATGACATTTCGCATGGGAGCGGGTCCATGAACTCAGCGCATCTTCATTCGTTTTTGTCCCTCCCTCCCTCTCGCGCTCCAATTTTTGCTCCCCTTCCCATTTGCAGGAGCTCTAGCATTTTTCCCTTCAATTTTCTTTCTTTTAATGCCCTTTTCTGTTCCTTCCCTCCTCTCTCACTCCATCTCTTGTTCCCTTCCCCATTTGGAAAAGATCTCCCTACTTCCTACTACCTACCTTTATTTTGCTCTTTACTTGTATTTCTCTCATATCAGAGAAATCAGGCGATGTTTAAATTTGTGCATCTGGTTTATCTCACTTATTATGGTCTCCAGATGCATCCACTTTCCTACAAATGCCTCAGGTTTATCCCTCTTTAAGGCAGAGTAGTACTCTATGGCGGGTCAGTATCACACTTTCTTCATTCACTCTTCTGCTGATGGACACACAGGCCGGGTTTCTAAGATTTAGCTACTGTGCATTGTGCTGTAAACACGGGTGCGCATGGAGCACTATGATATGATGTCTTTACCTCTTTCAGGAAGACACCTGGAAGGGGAATAGCTGGGCCCAGTGGAACTTCTAGTTTGTTTTTTGAGGACTCTTCATACTGATTTCCATAGTGGCTGCACAGGTTTACATTTCCACCAGCAGCCTTAGCAACATTTACTCTCATCTGATTTCTTGATGACGGCCACTCTTTCTGGAATCTCAGCTTGTCTTAATTGATGTTTCTCTAACAGCCAGTGATGCTGAATATTTTTCATCTGTTTCTTGGCCATCCGCATGTCTTCTTCTGTGAAATGTCACTCTCCAAAGAGCCCCAGATTGAAAATCCATGTCACAAAACAACTGCTCACCATTGGTCAGGCTTTTAAAAAGTCTCACACCTGAGAAAACTCCATAGTAACTCCCTCACGCTGTGTCTATTTGCTAAGCACTGCTGGTCCTTTCTGGGAGGAAAAATCCACTGCTCTGAGTGATGACCTGCCCACATTTGTGTTGCTATGGTAACCTTCATAGGAATTGGTAACGTGGTAATTTGTTATGTTGTCTGTAACCTTCATAGGAATTGGTAACGTGGTAATTTGTTATGTTGTCTGTACATGAACAATTAAGGCAAATATTCTCTAGCTCACACACACTTTTACTGGTACTAAGAACAGCCCCAACTCGATGTGGTAATGCAAGACTATAATCCTAGCACTCTGAGAGGCTGAGGCAGGAGGAACCCAACTTCAGGCACAACCTGAGAAACTTGGCAAAACTCTGTCAAAACAAAAATACAAAAACAAAGGGCTATGTGTGCAGCTCCCTGGCGCTGTATACCGGAACAGCCTGGGGTGGGTTAGGACACTGCAGTGCCCAATACCTTCCCTCCCTGCAGGTGCTGAGTGGAGCGCGACCTGCAACCCTCGGGTTCAGAATGCCAACTGCAAGGCCCAGAACTGGCCCGTGTCAAGTCTGGCTTTGGAGTGCAATGTGGAGCCGAGCCTTTCACTAATTCTTCATAAGCCCCAGAGTCACAGAAGCGAGGCAGAGCCAGCGCTCTGAACTCCCAGAGCTCCCCTTGCTGGCCTGGCCTCCTGGCCCCTTCCTCCTGCAAGTGCGCAGGGCAGGAGGTGCAGACCCAACACCACACAGTGTCAGCCTGCGATGTCTGTCCGCTTGTGCCTCGTGCCATTTCTAAACCTGAGAAATGATACACGTGTTCCAGTTAGATTTTTAGACCTCTGTCTGGAAGAAAAGGAGGACTCGGACTCCCAAAGAGCACCCACAGATTCCAGAGCCCCGCACACTCGCGCTCTTCACGCTCATCCCCTGCGGCCATGGCACCTGCTCAGGCACCTGCTGCGCCTCGAGGGCATCGCGTGTGTGGCTCTTGCAGCCCGACACGGAGCAGCCCAGGGCAGCACCCAACGGGAGGGAACAGGCAGCTCTTCCCTCAGACTGCGGTCGCAGGTACTCTTCCCATTTGGGCAATCCTTGGAGAAGAAGAAGGAAACAGTGCCACCTAACTGTGTGAGAGGCTTTGTTCTTGAGGTTTTCCTCCCCGCATATTAATTACTAGCCATAGCACTCACCTCCAACTCGTCTTTATCTCAGGGCACTGGTTAAACTCTAACAAAGGAAGCGCGCCAGTCACTGTCTTCCCAAAGCAAGGGCAGTGTCAACCTTCACACACCTTAGGAAGCAGCAAACTAGTTCTCCGAGGAAATACTGCTCAGGGAGAAGACACAGAGTAAATTTTATTCAGCTAAACATAAGATCTCTTGAGGTGTGAGAGGCTGAAGTATTCAGAATGTCATTCCATTCCCTGCCCAACCACTTCTACTACAGAAAATCTGAGTTGTGAAAATGTTTTTATTCAGTGGAAAACCAGCCAGTTACAGAAAAGGAGTAGCTGAAATCCATATGGATGTGTT